GACCCCACCCACACCCCGGGACCCCAGACCCCATCCCAACCTCCAGCTGCACCGCAGATTCCTCACCCGGACCCCGAGACCTCAGCCCCCCATCCCTCCCCTCCCCCTTCTGCAAGAGCAGACCGTCCAGCCCCCCAGAGACCCCTGGACCTCAGATCCCCATCCTGACTCCCACGTGCACCCCAAATCCCCACCCGGACCCAGGACACCCCAGGGACCCCAGACTCCACCCAGCCCCCAGCTGCACCGCAGACCCTCAGGGAAATGGCAGACCCCCCCCCCAAGGACCCCAGACCTCCATTGGGAGGCCCCATCTAACCAGCAGACCGACACCCACCCTATCTGCACCCCAGGGGTCCTGGACCAGGAGGTCAATCCCCCTACCTGAGGGTGATGCTGCCCGGCGCCCCCTGGTGGAGGGGGCGGGGAATGTCACCAAGATGGCACCCTGGTCCTTAGGGGCCTTCTGAGGGGCGCCCCAAACTTTGAGAGGTTCACAAAACTGCTTTCAGTTCATTTCTCTTAAAATCTGAAAGTAAAATTCCATTTAATCACAGCAAATATAAATAATGCATGGTTTGGGGTTTTTTTTGGTTTTTTTTTTACCACCAAAGTGGCTAAAGTTTTAATTGATTTTAATCGTGCAAATTTAGGGGTACCCGGTCATACTGGATGCATGAATATAGGGTGCCATGGTTAAATTCAGGCATTCAGCAGTAGAACCTATGATCATTAAGGAAAAGTGTCCAGAGGGGACAGATCATGAAGCTTCAGGGTGGGTGGGCAGTCCCCAGAAGYCCCAGATATTTATTTTTATTATTTTTTAAAATTATTATTATTATTTTATTTTTGGTTTGGGGGGGAATGGCTTACTTCACTTCGCATGATAATCTCCAGTTCCAGGCATTTATTGGCGAATGCCATGATTTCATTCCTCTTCGTGGCTGAGTAATATTCCACGACCCCAGTTTCCCTATCTACTCCTCTGTAGAAGGGCAACTGGGTTGGGTCCACTGCTTGGCTACTGTGAATGGACCKGGAGGGTCAGTGATTTACGATCCGCCCCCTCCTTTCTTCCCTCAAAACCCACTGGGGTCTAAGCGTGGGGTCTAAGGTCCTCTCCAGCCTCATCGCTAGACAGAGGAGGTCACTTCTGGGCGTTTCCTTAAAAACTCTGCAGAATTTGACTCGTGCAATGGGAGGCCACCCAAAGGGCGGGGTTTGGGGAGGGCCTTTGGGTTTCTTGGGGGGTTTGTGCGTGCATTGGTTTTTTTTTTTTTTTTTTTTGCATTTTGCATTTTGCGGGCTTGGGCACGGGGGAGGCCCCCACCCCGGGGCGCCCACACAATGGTGTTTGTGTCTGAAGTCTCTCGAGAGGGCGGGAAGACAGAGACGGGTGCCTTTGGAATCGGTTTCTAAATCCGCTCTGCAATTTTATTCTGTTCCTTTGTGCGGGGACAAAGGACGCACGTGCATCGTGCCAGGCTCCTCTGGGGCTCCAGATGCAGGGGCGTGGCTGTGTGTCGGCTCGTCTTGAAAGTGGGTGCTTGAAATAGCAAAGGACCGTTGGATGCCACCGAGGCTGCTCCGCCACAGGTTTCTGTTTTCCCCCTACCGAGGGATTCCTGCCGGTCGGACTTGTTATCCAACCACGTGCTGGGAAAGAAAGAAGAGAGCAGGAAAATCTTGACCTAACATGGCATAAAATTAAGATATGTGCATAAAATTAAGATATGTGCATAAAATTAAAATATGTGCATATCTATGCCTCAATTTTCCTCCTTCCCTTCCTCTTGGATCCCTGACGACTCTGAAAAATCAGTCCTGACCCTGTGGCTGCAGCCGGGCACCAGGGTGCCCACTTGTTATCGCTGTGGCTCCTGGAGGCTGAGGAAGGAGGATCTCAAGTTGGAGGCCAGCCTCAGCAACTTAGTGAGGCCCTGAGCCACTCAGCGAGACCCTGTCTCTATCCCCAGCCCTATTTTGCATTTTATTCAGAGACAGGGTCTCCCTGAGCTGCTCAGGGCCTCCCTTGAGCTGAGGCTGGCTTTGAACTCCTCATCCTCCTGCCTCAGCCTCCCCGAGCCGCTCCCGGGATTCTGCGMTCCTCCTGGGTGGCGGCGCTGGGTGTCATCCATCTTCTTGCAAATTAACCAGTTTCTCACGTTTCTCTGCAGAATCTCCTTCTCAAAGCGCCCGCTTCTCCAGGTGGGAAAGGAGGAAAAATAAAAATGAAAAATTTTAAGAATTCCGTGGTGTGACAGTCCCCAACCTGGTCTCCCAGCCGGGGCGCTGGGAGATGAGGCGGTTCCGTCCCGACTGGATTTTCCTTTCTCTCCTTTTACTTGTTGGTGTGTTTATTTATAGCCACTGCCCTATTTTCCTCCCGATGGCCACGGCGGTGTCTCTGAAAATAACATCTGGACCTTTCTTTCTTTTTTTTTTTTTCTCCTTTTTTTTGGTGAATTTTTCTTCTCAAGGTTCAATGCACCTGGAGAGAACTAGAAGGTTCGGCGGCCACCTGCCTCCCATCCGGGTCAGTTTGCAGGCAAAGAATTTCCCTTGCACCATGTCCTTCTCCCGAGGCTACTGGACGTGCTGCCCAGTGGCTGGTGCTCCTGGAGCTGGGTGGGGGGAGGTCCTGGGTTCCGGGTGACGCTTCACCAGAGCCGTGAGCTGGAATCTCCAAAATCATGCCCCGAAGTGGAACCTTTCGTCTCTCTAGGTGGACCGTCTCGAGTGCTTTGTCACAGTAACGGAAACCTGACGAGTGCATCCGTCCCCCTTTGAGAGAGAGAATCAGGCGCAGGGCTTACCTGAGGTCACCCGGGCAGGAGGGAGTGACGTCCCTGGGTGATGTGTCCCTCTGGAAGCAGGTGGGACCGTCCTCTTCTCTCTCACACACGCACAGAGCAGGACATTCACTGGGGGCTGTGACTGGGACAAATTGTTCTCTGCAAAATTCTCAGCGCCTGCAGGGGTGGTGGGTCACGGCTTGCCACAGTGTCCCCTGGGCCCCGAGGGACGTACTGAGATCTGGGCCCTGGGCCCCTGTGCGTGTTCTATGAGGGACCGCAGCCCGTGCACATGGTCTGGTTCCCCCCGAGGTCAGCCCGCTGCTTCGCTCCAGCAGGTTGGTCCTCTCTGCAGGATGCTGAGCCKTGTCCCCGGCGTCCACCCCGGGGACCAGAAATCCGTATCTGGGTACCAAGGTGGTGCTCCTGCCTCCCATGGTTTTATATGTATTTATATAAAATAAGCCACATTGTCACCCACTTTCAAGTTTTTATTTTGAAAGCTCAGTAACGTGGCAGAGGCTGGCCTCCGACTGGCCATCCTCCTGCCTCAGCCTCCCAAGACTCGGGGAGGATCAGTGGGGCACCGTGGCGGCTGCAGATGCTGAAGATGTTAGCAGAAGCCGAGTTTCTTGGGCGCTGGGAGAGGACGAGCAAGAATCGAGTCGTGCGCATCGTCGTGTTTTGCATTTTATCTCCTCCCTGGGAGACACCCGGGGTAGCCTCCGTGATGTAGATTCTGTCTGGAAAGAAAAACCGAGAAGGGGCCAGAATCCAGCTCCTTGATGGACTGACTATAAATAACTCCCAAGAATCAATAATAAACTGAATGATCAACTTGGTATGATTAAATCTAGGGTGTCCCCCGGAGGGTCTTGAGTTGAAGGCTTGGTCCTGGGGAGGCAGGGGGCAGTGATGGGTTCCTGGCGCGCTCTGACCTCGTGAGTGAATTAATCCATTGATAGATCAATAATTGGAATGGAGTATTGATGGGAGGTGAGCACAAGGCAGGTGGGGCTCAGTTGGAAGGAAATGAGGGCGGAGATGCGCTACCATTGGGACTATATCCTGTCCCTGGCCGGGACTATATCCTGTCCCTGGCCGGGACTATATCCTGTCCGTGGCCCCAGGACTATATCCTGTCCCTGG